ACGAAGTGGCGGCGGTGGCGGCGGCATCTCGCCTGGGCGAGGCTCGCTATTGCATCAGATGGCCGCAGCCACGGGCGCTCTGGCAAGGAGACGGCCCCGCCTGCGTATATAAGGGCGGGCGAGCCGATGAGCCAGCACACAGCGTCCCAGCGAGTACTGGAGTTCACACACCAGCAGCGCTTCAGCTAACACCCGCCGACATGAAGGTTCTGGTGAGTGTCTGCGGAGAGCGCCGGGCGCCTCTTCACCGAACTACTCGATTTCGGACTTCTTCTGTTTTCACGCCCAGAGTGCTTTTGTTGCCTCTTCTTCGTTCAATTGTTTATCAAAAAATTTCATTTTTTTTTCAGAAATGTGTTTTCACTTTTTTAAAGATTTTCTCTCCATTTACTTAAGAGAAATTTGTCAAAATTTGCTTTTCACGTTTGACGTTTTTGAAAAAATAAACACAGAATCTAAGATGTACAAATAATTTTTAAAATTCTCTTGAAGATGAATTATTAGTTTATAATTTTTTAATATTATTATTATAAATAATATTTCTATTTTTACTTGGAGACGGAAGATTAATGTCATTGACTTCGCCCAGATTAGTTTTTAACCCAACGTGTCTAACGTTTGCAGTCGAAATCAATAGAGTCCAATTGGGCGCCATGTGAAGCGTATACACGAGTAGCGTGAAGCGGAATGGATCGCCGCTTCGTTGGATTCGTGACAAATTAAAATAGGAAGCTTGACAAGCGTGGAGAACATTTTAGAATGAATGTAGTACCAAATTAATCTTTGCCCACTATAGGAGAAGTCTGTTAGCGCTCACCATGTGGAAGTGACCACTCTATATAGCATTGTTAACACACACACACACACAAATATTTAATCTTCATGCAGAGAGCGAGTCCAGTACGGAGATGTAGTTTTACTCAAGTTAAAATACGCCAATACTTTTACTCGGAAATAGTTTGTGATAGCTTGTTTTGAAGTAGTAATTTCAACAGCTCTATAATTTATAAATGCCGAAAAACAAACACAACTGACATAAAAATAAACTATACTTTATAGTTTTCATATAAAAGCTTTTATTTTCCATACGAAACATTCGAAATCGGTCTCGAACATTCGAAAATTTCCGCTAGTTAGATGGTCACACACGAAGACAAGTTGGTTCTAAAACGCATTAGTAACAGAAAACAGCCAGACTGTGAGAGTGAGTGTCCGCCTTGTCTCCGCAGATCGTCCTGTGCGCCGTGGCGTCCATGGCCTTCGCCAGGCCCGGCCTGATCGGTCTCGCCGGCCTGCACGGCATCACCGCCCTGGGCGTGCCGGGCTCCATCAGCATCGCGACTGCGCCCGCGGCCGCCCCCGCCGCGCCGCCCCAGCCCGTGCAGGAGACGCCCGAGGTGGCGGCC